ACCGCCTCATGCAAATGTTACAAGACACAACCCTCTTCATCCAACCAGAGCGCGCCTCGCGCAGCACGGGCAGAGCCTCTTCGGGCCGTGAACCACAGTACGAGATCGAGGCCACTGTCCGTGCTCTGAAGAAAGGGAAAGAGAATGGGATGGAGCTACCATCACATCGGCGCGACCACATCCACGACTTTGCTGAAGAAGTCGACCAGATTTCCAATGGCACAGGCGTAATCAGTTTTCAAACAATTCAAGATTACCTTCGCACGCAACAGTTGGCGGGTAGAAACCCCATTGGCCTGCTTTCACCTGGTCTCATCGAATACTACGATTTCATGAGACGTGTAATCAACGTCTTTCCACAAGTCGATCTTAACGACCCGACAGATGCAAAAGGCAAAAGAACCAAACGGCCGGTACCCCCTGACCACCCTTACAAGGACGACATACGGAAATTCTACAGAGAAAGTACTGGTATGGCGCTGACTCAGAGAAAGAAACTGTTGGCAGCATCCATAGCAGACATTGGCGAGGCTATATACAAGCTCGAATGCAAGATTGTTGACATGCCAGACGGCCCTGAAAAAGCCGCTGCAATGGCCGAGCTAAGCGAGCTTGAAACCCAGTGGAAGCAGGGCCTCGACAGTCAAAATGCCAACTATGCCAAGGTACCTGCAACAGAGATCGATGACCGCCTCGCCATACGCTCGCCGCCCTCACCTCGTCTCCAATCCGACTCCCGTCCTTTCGAGCCCCTCGTCATGCGTAAAAATGAGGCTTGGCCCCAGAGCCGTCTGGCCCTCGTCTCCGCTGAGCCCTTTCCCAGGCCCGTCGGCGGATCCCCCGACTTCTACGAGTGGGCGCGAGATTTCATCTTCGGACTCTTCGCGCACCCCTCCGATGGTATCAATCACGCTCTCGACAAGCTGCAACATGGCCTCAGCGACATTATAAAAGATTGTCCCAGTTTGAAAGATCCGAAGAAAGGTGGTAGACTGCAAATGGAGCATCTCAGGGTTAGGATGCTAACATCCGAGATGATTCTAGAGCTTGTGGAAGCGTACAGGACCTGGCCGTTCAAAGAGCCAGGCAGTGATAGCAATCAGTACTTCAAGTACAAGCATGCTGGACAAACGTGGATTGGACAGTCTGCGGATCGATGAGGGATATTGAATACACATCATGTTGCCACTGTTTCTTTGAGACACAAGTACAACACGACATAGTATCGATCCTTCTGAAGTTCAGCATTACGCTACGTGTGTAACAGTGTCTTCGACAACATGGTGTGCATATTGGCAACCGATTGCAATGACAAGAGCGAGCTTACGCCTTGTTACCTCGCCCTCTCAGGTGAGCATATCTCGAGCAGCGTTGATTCCATAGAGTGAGCTTTCATACTTTCCAACTTGGGAAACTTTTGTACCAACCTTCTCCGAATATCATCCTATTAAAGCTCTTGTGGTGTGGAGCTTTCTCGCCAAAGCGGTGCAGCTGGGTTGCCGTCCTTGCACAAAGCCGAGGGTGCTAGCTGTCGTGTCTCTGTATGAGATCGAAGGTGTCAGAATATTGAAGACTGTTGAAATTCCCTAGAACTAGTAGTGAGCTCCAATAGAGGCATGTCGTACTTGTTCGCATAGTCCCTTTACTTCTCGGCGGTCAACTAGGTCGTTGGGAATCCTCCTTCGTGCTGTGCAAAGACAGCCAGAGATGGCGCAGGATCCCTATCTAGTCATCTCTGAGATCGATCCTCATTCCTATTGATAGCTCATCTCTCCAATATAACGGAACACCCCCATATCGTACTGTCTACACGGCGATTGAGAAGCGCAGAATAAATTGAACGTTTGGCGCAAGCCGTCGACGAGCACCCTTGAATTCGTCGACCATATAATCAGCAGGCTTGCATCTGACAGCATCTGCGATTTGAGTGGACAGGATCTGGCTTTCGTCTGACACAAGAACGACGGGATGATCAGCGATAACATGGTAGGTCGCATTGCTGCGGCAATCGATGGACAGGGTGAAGGCTTAATTAGAGGCGTCATTGAACCGCCAGACGTGCAAGGTCGCCGACATGCATCCCGGAAAGTGAAATTAGAATTGACGCCACCCGTCGAATGTGTCTCTAGAAGACATTAGAGGGTAGACCGCGCGAGGCTGCATGCGCTGGTGAGAGCGAGGCACTTTGCAAGGTGGGTGGAGATGTCCCTTGGTACCTAGGTAGCCAACGCGGGAGTAGGCGCGCTAGTGGACGAAACAAGCCTAGCCTCTTTTTTCTTCCCGTGCATCCAGATGTCGGGTGCAGGTGGCTTCGATCGAGCCTTCCAATTACCATCACATCACGCCCACCCTACAGCTTCACCCGTATAATTTGAAATGTCCGGAGCGGAGAGTAACCCGAGGAAGCGGAAAGCCGAGCCCCGCGAGCGGCACGACGGCGGCGACAAACGAGCTAAGGTGAGTTCTTTTCTTCGTACCACTGTCAAAACTCCTCCCGTACTTGCATTCTTGGCTTCCCAGTTCCATTTTCGTCATGCAGCTGCAGTGAGATTCATCAGGCTGATCCGAGACATCAGAGTAAAAGAAACTGGGATATGCCCCGCAGGGACGGCAGTCAGTCTCGTACTATCAAACCCGGTGATGCGGGCATATGGGCAACATGCGCTATGAAGAAGGAAGCAAAATCTGTCTCTGATCTGCGGGATCTATTCCAAGAGGTTAGCGATATCTTGATGCTGCACCATCCGCGAGCGACAGTGCTGGTGATGCTGATTCATGATAGTACGCTACTACCCTGCACGGCGCCGCCGGTTCCAATGGGACGGCTGCAGAAGACAGCTCTGACTCGGAAGGAGGTGATATCGAAGCTGAGATCCAGAAAGAGCTCGCCGATATTCGTAAGCCGACGACGAAACCCTTGTTCACATCTCTCAAACTCGACACCCAGTGCTGTGAGGATAGCCAATCACACTTCCGACCGCTCGGGCTGACCCAAGAAAGTGATATTTTTTAGGACACGCTCACCTCTCGAACCTGTCTCCTTCGTACATAAGATCTGTCAAGATATTGCAGATGGCGCTCAGCCGAAGAACTTACGCTATGTCAAGCGACTAACACCAATTACTGCGACCGACAAAGCCACGCCACAGGGTCTTGAGGCTGTTGCGAAACAAGTCCTTGCGCCTCACTTCCATGGATCAGATCAAGCGGGGAAAAAAGTGAGCATTAGCTTCTTCTATCAGATGATGTAGTGTCGTCGTGCAAAGATCTCCGCTAACGTGTGGTTACCCAAGTTTGCGATACGCCCATCGATCCGCAACAATAAGGAGTTTTTGAGAGATGGCGTCATCAATACAATCGCAGCTGCAGTTGGTCCTGGGCACAAGGTCGACCTGAAGAACTACGATCTTCTCATTCTCGTGGAAATTTACAAGGTATAGTCATACCCCACGTGGTGATCACACGTCTCACATGCACCGCATAATGAGATCTTGACAGCTGCTTACATCCGACAGAATGTCTTAGGTATGAGTGTGGTCGGTCCTGACTTCGAGCAGCTCAAACGTTTCAACATCGAGGAGCTTCGTCAGCCGTTGCCCTCGGTCAAACCTCAGGTCGATGATCAGTCAGGGAACATCGAGAATGGACGTGTCTGAGAAGGGGACGAGTGGAATCGGTGCGTGGGGCAGCCGTCGTGGTGCTAGAACGCCTCGCGCAGCAATTTCCACAAACTGAAAAAATCTCCGATCGGGACCACCGTGGCTTGCATACGTTTGCTCGCGGGATGAGGCAAACGTCTAGTGGATCATCGGAGTGAGCACAGTAGCCACCTACTCATCGACCTGACATCCGGCGTGTTGCTACTACTCGTCTCCGAACTGCCGGGTGCATACTGGGTGCGGGCTTACATAGCCGCCACAGCAATGGCACACAGGCGTGGGATGTATGGAAGTAGTTGAATAGCTACGTAAAATATTGGGCCGGGCGAGTTGAGGGCCCGTACAGACATGACACTGCGTTAATCACAGCGTTATTTTTTGCACTGTCAAACCTACATCCAATCGTCTCTCAGATTCCTAAGGATATGCTATCGAAAGATGTCGGTCAATGGTATCCTTCAGCCGTCTCTCGGCAGAACCAATCATAATTCGCGATACGCGATATCCTCATCGGGTGCCTAGCCACTTGTGGGTATCCTTGACGAACGCTGAGAGCGCCAATCTGAACGCCTCACGCGTCCTTCTCCGCCTCTACATCCGCCTTCGCTAAACAATTCGCTTAGAATACGCCGCTTACTTACCAGTTCCGTACGCGCATGATAGACTTTTGCTTTTCGGCTGAGCAGTGCATCGGCGAGAGGATAGTCGATATGGCTCGGGGACTGGTTGGGACTTTCAGATGTGCTACTAAGTGTCGACTGTCATGCGATTCGGTATGGCCGAACCAAGGAGATGGCTTCATCAATTGAGATCTATCAGAGTCGGTCTTGCTCGGGCTGGCGTTACTATGCTTTTGTTTCCGACATTCGTCGGGACATTTTTGCGTTCAGATCGAGCATCCATGATTCTATGAGAAAAGAGCTGGCATTGACTTTGTTTGCGCAATCGTCAAAACATTCTTAATGCATAGCGATGTCCTCGACATGCAGCATTCAGTCAGCTCCAGGCCTCCACTATCGAATCACGCTAAGCTCCCCGCCGGAATCTAGGACGTCGCTGCTCGGCCCTTCATAATGCATCTTCCCCCACTGGATGTTGCAATCTTTCCCCTCACCAGTATGAGCCGTGGAACGTACGCTCTAAAGCCCGTTCGGCCCTCTTCGACCACTTCGTCTTCATCTTCGTCTTCATCAGCATCTTCGCGGACTGCTATCACAACAGTCGACTTTCCCAGCATACAAAGAGTCATCAGAGCAGTCTTTCGATCCTCAAGAATCAATGTTCAGCAAATTGAAGTCCAGCAAGGGTGCATACACCAGGTTTATCTCGCAAGACTTCAAGATGGCAGCTGTTTGATACTCAAATGCCCACCAGCTTATAACATCCGACTCCTCCGGCATGAGAAGCACTTCCTGGAGACAGAACGCAAAGCACTCGAGACACTGCACGAGTATACACAAGTACCTGTGCCCCAAATCATCAAATATGATAGCCATGGTGGACCGCTTGGTGCACCATTTCTTATGATGAGCCACATGCCTGGTCGCAAGCTCTCGGAAATCGCGCCATACATCTCGACCAGCGAGAGAAACTCCATCGACCACACACTAGGCACACATGTCCGCGCTCTGACTGCACTATCTGCCACCCAATTTGGTATGACACACCGTGTCTTCGTCAAAAAGGGCAGCAACTCCTGGCGCGAGGCTTTCTTTGCTCTCCTCGAAGCCGCACTACGCGATGCTGAGGATATGCTTGTTAACGCACACTCCGAAAGTATACGTTTCTGGGTTGGCAAACACGCACACTGCCTGGAAGAAGTTACCGAACCGCGCCTTGTAGCGCTCAATCTCTGCGACCCGGAGAACGTGCTCATCGACGAACGTACCAAGCAGGTCATAGGTCTTGTCGGATTTTCGAACGTCATCTGGGGCGACCCTCTCATGAGCGGCGGTATCGCGGATGGCAATGAAGCGTTCTTCGCCGGCTTGGGAGATTACCCTGTGAAGACTGGGGGCGCGAGGGTCAGGATGCTGATGTAAGTACCAAGTGCGGGTAATTAGAAGGCCGCAATGCTGACCGTAATAGGTACAAGACTTACCGGGCCACAGTGCGGATCGTCGCACACCATTACCGGCCGCATGACGGCATTGATGAGCTCGGTGCGAGACGAGAGCTGAGCTGTGCACTCAACGACCTCGCAGCTATCTGAATCGTACTAGCGAGGCAGCTAAATCCTACGAGCGAGCTCTCGTAGCGCCTTGCTACAAGCGAATCGAGTGCCGAGCAACACATTGTGCTATAAGAATGAAGTTCCGAGCGGAAGGGTATCGTGTTTTTGGGTCTCAAGTGTTGGAATTCAAGGCGTTCGGCGTTCGGGTTCTATACTATGAAACATTGAGTATAGTGAGAAAAACGCTCGCTGTTCACGCATGACCATCGGTTAATTGCGTGCGGCTAAGTGTAGCGGGCGGTGTAACGATGTTGCTGTACCGCTTAGATCGGATGCGAATGGGCGCGCAAAACTGAGTTCCACGGCATAGAGTCGAGCATGGTGTAAGCTTACATTTTTTTGATATCCCCTTCTCCGATTTGCAATCTCCAAGATACTGTCGTGCAAGTAGTTGAGTAAATGTATTCTCAGTCGTCAGAGAAGGTGGTGGCCAAAACGAGTAATAGGACTTTAAAGAAAGCGGATGCAAATACCGTCTTGACTTCATCGTACACTTTGGCAAATGATGCGAATCTGCAGCAACCAGGGTAAGCGAACGTTGCTATCCGAAGCAACATCCTGGCGCTGTAAGTCGCCCAATCTTGAAGACACATGGATACACGAGGAATATACCATTCGCACATCAAACCCACAAATTTCGAAGCGGACGTGGCTGATGTTCCGCCCTCTACGTTGATTTGTCTTTGTCGACACGTTAGCCACGTATCCAAGTACCTACGTACCTAAGGTTCTGCACATGCTATGAATCGGCTACCCTTGCGAGGGCGCCTGAGCCCACCACATGCCCGAATGCTCCTTCTCGCTCACCCCTGTTTCTGATAACGTACCTAGGTATAATGGGTAGACTGTAGAAAGGCACCCACCAATCATTCGCGTGCAGACTCGCTTGATGGCGCTGCATTGGGAGTAGCGTTCGAGAGGGGTAGGCGAAGATAGACGACGCGTTGCGGACCGATGTTCTTCGGAGTCGTAAGTTGCTGGAATCTCGCTACGCATGTAAGTGACGGGTGGCAGCGGCCTGGCGTAGACAACGGGGTAGGGGAAAGGCTGTAGGCAAGGCAGGGGTACCGAGGTATTTGTGTCGACAGGTAGTCGCACGCGGTGCACCTTGAACACTGACTCTTGAGATATAAAAACACCTTCGACAGCCGGCTAGAAATTGGACTGAATGAAACGACATCGGTCTTTTCCATCTTGAAGATGCGCCTCTACGAATGTTCTTGGACTATGACTCTTGCTCACATCCCTGGAAGAGAGAACTTTGGTAGGTACTTAGGCATGCCTGCCTAAGCAGACACTGCTCATCCCATCTATTGAGACTTCATTATATCAGATATACAACATGCTTGTCTACATCGCGTCCTTCTCCCTCTCGGCTTTAGCGAGAGTCTAGCTTACCTAGGTAGTAGGCATTGGATCTTGTCCAAGTAGCCAAACCTCAAACTACAATATGTCTAGCTTCAACACCAGAACTTAATTTTTTTTCGCATATGTAGACAAGATAAACGGGGTAATTGTTTCATGCTACAGCGCCTTCAGATTAATCACGTATGATTGGATCGATTTTGTCCCTATCACAATCGCGACGCTACGCCCGATACAGTTAGTTGGCCCCCACGTGAAGAACGGGAGCTCCCACCCGTGAGGGGAACGGAAGACGCGACGGAAGGTTCGGGGCAGGCTTTCACTTCATATGACAATCGCGCGTCTACCTGCATTCTTTTACCTGGCGTTTCGACCGGTTCTCTGTCATGCGCAACGGGGATCCCAGATCCTGCCGCCCATTCGAAGGTTTTACGGAAGATCCCTCCACCGCGGCGCGTGCTTAACGCTGAAGTATTGGCGCGAACCGCTGCAACAATCCCAATGTCCACCCGGGCGCTTAGCCAACTATGTTATTGCCCGATAGCCTCAAGAACTCTGTGCAACCGCTATGTCGGTACCGGATTAAGTATGAAAGTGGAATCAGCGGTGCTGTGCCGCAATCTATCTGCGCAGACGATCGATGCAGGTACAGCTTGAATAGCAGACAAAGATGGCTTAAGTAGCCTCTACGTATGCGATTCTCTGTGCGATAACCTTGTATACAGCCACCGAGTCGCTGTAAGTTTCCTTTCAGGCCAATCCCGTTTGAGCGCACTTGGAGCATCTGTCGTTATGGATCGAACATTAGGAGGTCATGCGCCTTCAGTCCCAGCGGACTCGTCTGCTCAGTCTACAACAGATACCATGCCTTTGGGCACAGGTTAGTCATCAATTACCTCTGAAGATCTAGACGGCTAACAAATTTGCCAGTACAAGCTTCAACAGATCGGAAAGGGAGCTGGCTGCCATTTACCTTTAGATGGTATTCTCTATTGATACCGATTAGTGCCACCGCCATCCTGGGCATAACAATATCGCTACTTGTTTGGTACTCGCAACACCACTACGGACTCGGTGCCGATGACGGATCTTCTGCAGTACTGTTTGGATGGCGCTTCACACCAACTCTGCTAGCAGTGCTGTACACACAATCTACGGTTATCCTATTTGAAGATGCCAAGAGAACGGAGCCATTTGCAAGACTAGCACAAGCACCTTCAGAAGGCGCCAGCGCCTTCGGAACAGTGCTCCAAACGCCCAGGGCCTGGTGGGCTATCTTACTGGATATCGTCCTCAAGCGCAAGTCGGTCGGTAAAACCAGTTGGTGTCTCATTTGCACGGCTGTAATCAATGTGGTGGCCCTCCTCGCGATTTCTCCCTTGTCATCGGCCCTTCTTACATCCGAAGAGATTGTAATCACCAAAACGCTTGACATCCGCAGAAGCGTTCCCAAGATTGGCCTCCAGCTGCCCATTGTCGCTAGTAGAGAAGCCTACTTCAGAACTACGTCTGCGCTGATGAGAGATCTCTCTACTTCTGCATGGATAAAAGATACTTCCATCACCTTTCCGAATTGGCCGTCTACAGATCCAGTACAGCTCGGCCCCGATCTGGTATCACGCTTCGACTCTTGGACGGCAGAGACAACGACAATGCATGCGGACCTGGGTTGTCGAGACATGACATTAGAAAGCGCTGATCTTGCACCGATGGAATATAGCGGGTACGATATCATGGGTCACGGGCCATATAAGGGCATAGAACCCATGGTAGCTTTTGCCTTAGCATCAGACGACGGTTGCAGGTACGAGGCGACTGTTCACCCTGCGGCTGAGCTGGCAATGAGGGGAGGTTTGACGTGGTCAAACACTTCTACATTCTACATCAAGTCTGGTACGCTTCCTCTCGGTAGAATCCCGTTTGCCGCCAACGTCTCTTCGACCAGTCCTTTTGCGCGCCACTACGCCTCTCCAGAATGTGCAGATCGCGACATTATCATTCTAAACACCCCATGGACCACGCCCATCAAGTTGGAGCTCAGTGCTGCAACGGTAGGAATTGAGACGAACAGGACCTATCAACGCTCGCCTGACTTTCGCATGAAGGCATTGCTTTGCAAATCTCAGTATTCTATAATAACACACAACATGACTGCCTCGATAGGCCACGGTAGAGAGTCGAACATTACATTCATGGAGTCGGACCACATCCAGCCCGAGTCGATTACGAAAGCTATGTTAGACATTCCCAAATTCGAAGAGATGGCACTACAAGACACTTGGAAAGACTATTTCAACGCCAAAAGCATGTCGTCTGATGCAGATCGTGCTATCGGTGGCTCTTTGAGTCCTTACTCTGATCCAAACACGACCGTTAACGCTCCAATGTTCTTTGGGCTTGGTCCGCTGCTCGGCGCCCTCTATGATTTCAACGTTACCGAAATGTTGTATGACAAGGAGCTTGCATCCCGCGCAGCAAGAGTCAAAGGAAGATTCTTTACGGAGTGTCTTCGCGAGGCCCTGAATGACCCCGACGTAACAAGCGTCGAGCTTACGAAAGGGAAGGCAACAATGGTCGAAAACAGAATCATGGTACTTCGAGAGATTGGAATCGCTTTGGCTACCCTTTTTTTGGTTTCCTTCTTGCTACTCATCCTGGTACTATGGGTCTCACGACTTTCATTTCGGCCACTCGATCTCAGCATGGACCCCGGGAGTACCCTTGGACATGCTATGTTAGTTCAACATCAGCCGACACGATCATCAACATTCCGCGAGGGTCATCGTATAGCGCATTTCGATTTTCAACAACGAATAAGGAATGACACGTTCTTCATGCAGGATGGTGCTATACATACTGCAAGCAGTGGTAACCTCGCAACCACATGTAAGTCGCTACTGACAAACGATTAAAACTGTAAGCTAATCAATGTGTTGAGTAGCTTCCCCAAGCACTGAACCTTCAAGCTACTGGCAGCCTTTGGTCATCCGACTACGTATGCTGTTCGCTCTTTCAAGCTTCCTCGTCCTTATCTTGGTTGCTGTGTTAGTGCTGAACGCATTCTCCGCGAGATCTCGACTTTCTCAGCTTGCATTCGTTTACGAAGCCGATGTTTCTAAGTTGGGGTTGAGCTTCTCCACCTTTGCCCCTATCTCTATCGCACCCACAGTTGTCAGTATTGTGATCGGCTTGTGGTGGGATCAATTAGATTCGACTTTCAGAATCCTCCAACCCTATTTTGCGATGTCGCAACGGCCAACACCAATTTCCAACGGAGCGGGTCTTACATACCGTTCCAAAACCTGGGCTGGTGCGGCTATCAAGGCTGCCCGCAACAAGCATTGGATGCTGTTCCTGGTCGCTACTGGAAGCGTTCTTTGTCAAATTCGTAAGATGCTCGCGATCGATGGTCGTCTAACTCGCTAACCTCAAATTTCCAGTCACCGTTTCGATGTCTGCGCTCTTCGAACGACAAGCTGCGAACGTGTCTCATCGAGAAATTCTCGAAAGAACGCTAGAACCTCGAGAGATACCCATTATAACTACGGTGAAGACCTACGAAGGGCGAACGGCAGAACCCCGTCCGAGTCTGCCTCCATTCGAAGTACTCGACAATCTTCTGATGAACCCGTCTAAAAATTGGCTACCCGGCGCTGCCATTCAGCTGTCACTCAACGGCACCAAGCCTTCTTGGACTCAAGATGATTGGAGCTTCATACCTCTCGATCTTACCAGCATTTCCCAATTGGATGCCAAAGAAACGATGACGTTCCGGGACAACGTAACAATCACGACATCTGCTCTTCGAGCTCGGCTAGAATGCGAACAAATACCTGAGGTAGCCAACACATCGACTTGGCTCATTCATACCGATGAAATCCAACGTTCCCGAGATTCCCCCCGACAGACAGATTTGGAGGGCCTGGAAAGATACTATTCTCTGAACAGTGAGATATTTGGCGATAGTCCGTCGAATACTTCAGCATTTGCCACCACCGCTATGCTGTCATGTTGCTCGAACGGAACCAAGGACGATCCGGATTCAGCAGTGGCAGGATACTGGTCGCCAGTAAACGTCCAAAATTTCCCAAACACAGACAGGCAGTGGCCAGTTCCATTCGTTACAAAATGGATCGTTGGTAAGCCTGTCACAGTCCCAGGTATAAGCAAATTACAAGGACAAATGCTGCTCTTCAAAGATGCACCGGATCTACAAGCCGCTCGCTGTATGCCGATAGTGGAGACGTCAGACGCCAAAGTGATTGTGGACGTGAAAACGGGCGTGATTCAATCATACGAGATCATCAGTTCTGTCGGCCCTGCAAAATCAGCCTGGTCCGAAGTGTTTGTCCGACACGCGCTGACCCATGGCAACGCAACGCAGCAATATGATGAAGAATACCGAGGGCCGTTGAACATCACCACGAGTTATGGAATCTTATTCATGGGATCCATGTTAAAAGCCGCTGACTCTTATTTCGGCGGTCCGCTGGGGACGTCACCCACGGAAGACCCCAGCGATAATGCCTTTGTCATGCGCGACCCTGAAACCGGTATGAACATGGACCTGATGACATACAGCATGTACAGCCTCGCCAACAAGAATCCGCGGGCTTTGCTCGACTACGCAACCCTTGTTACCCACGCAAACCATACCTTCCAAACGTTCTTCCAACACTTCATCAGCAATGGTCTATCGTTAGAGCAAGGCGGTTGGGGGTATCAAAAAATCGGCGACAACAGTACACAAGCATTAGGAGAGCCAGTGACACGGGATGGTAGGGTTCTTCCGCGACGCAAGTACGAAGGTCTCCGCACCAACCGAACAGTTGAGGCATTGGTATCCCACCGAACCCAGGTTCTTCATATGAATGCAATCGCTACATATCTATCGGTGGCAATCATCATCTGGCTTATAGGCACTACAGCCGTGGTCAGTTTTCTACAGCGAAAATACACGGGTCCTTTGATTCGCGACGTGCTACTCATCGCCGACGTACTTGTACTTGTCGCAGGAAGCGATCATCTTCTGCGATTAGTAGAAGAACGAGGTGTGGCACTCAAAAACGCGAATGACGTCAAAACCATGTTAGCGTGGTTCAAGGACAGAGACGGAGAGGTGCGTTGGGGTATTGAGGTTGTTGGGGGCAGTGATGCAGCAGAGTGGGTAGACGCCCCAAAGACCGGTTGGCATGCGCAGGGTGGTTCGAGGCGGGGTTGGATTCCATGGAGAAAAGCGCAATCGTAGTATTAGAGGAGAATCGTGTTTTTTTTTAAAAACTAAGCTATGGTAGAGGCAACAAACGTGGACATCGAGCCCTAGGGAGGGTAGCGCTAGTGTGTCTGCCGAGATGCCGTGTACTTCGCATGTCCGTAGGCCCGTCCCAGTCTTCGAAAGAACTGTGCAATCAGGACCAAGCGGGTGCCTTAAAGGCACCGATGGCGACCGTCGAAAGCCGTGTCGACAATCCAGAATGCTCTGGTCCACTAAGCCGGAGTTTTCTTGTACTCCAGCAACTTTGCCATTAGTCCAACCGCAGAAATAGCGAACTAGGACGGTCAAGGTGGCCCGATGGCGTCTGCGCGAGTCGTATCGAGTTGCATCTCATCGATGTGGACCATGGCATGACTACACAGCGGGGACTTTGCGTTCGTGTGGACAGAGGAGTGGAGAAGCGTGACGCTGTGGAGTAGAGTAATCAACATGGAATAGTTCTAGAAGGTCGACTACTGCATAACGATGCAAAAACCTGGTGCAAATTCTGCTGAGCTTGTGCGCGATGACAGAAGAGTGAGCATGTTGTATGGCTGGACATAAGGTGGCGCGAGCATGGCTATCCAGAAGTCGGTTCGCACTTGACGCGGGGCAGTGGTTAGCCCACAATGAGATCCAAACGCTGGGGTGATTGACGGCTCTCCAACGGTCGTCTTGGTGCTGCATGCTGCAAGGCACCAACAGTGTTGGGCGAACTAAAAGTTGTTCCACTGGCCACGGAGTGACGCGATGAACATCGACTCACAGTTCGCGGACAGCGCACCTGAACGCCTAGATGCCGAAAGCCTTGGAAGTGGTAAGAGTGCTGATAGCACGTAGAATGCAACCATGGCTCGAAACGAGGCTAGGGCTGTGTGGAACGACCGGCTTTAGTCGAGCCGCTGTCAGTCACGGCAATGATCAAGGTGCGAGACATGCGCCACGTTGTGGGAGCGCTGCACGGTGGTTCTTAAGACGAGAATTGGTTTTGCGAACACGTTTGCTCGGCACCGATGACCACAAGATCCTTCGATACAAAAGCTCGATGGACATAACGCTCAGAACAGGCTCTGGCTTGCGTGATACTGCACCGGGGCATGAGGTGATCGCATGGTCAAAACGCACCAGGAGGCGGCGCAGTCGAATAAGCATGCAACAATGTTTCAAGACTTTGACTTCACATCACGACTCAGCTTGAAACTGATCTTGCTCGGCTGCTGCGACACCAAAAGTAAATAACTCCACCGAACAATCTGCGCGAATGCTTGTGGGCATGCTGTGCCAAGTTCAAGGTAGTGAGTAGTGTCATGCAATGCAGATACGCGTGTAGAGTGATCACATGCGATAAGATTGAATCGATCAGAGAGCAAATACAACATGATAGCGAATTAATCTATTATCAGGCTAGGAACAGGATCAGCAAGCCAGGACGTCTGCATATACAACCCCACGCCCGTGTTAAGAGAAAAGGAAACAAATGTCCTTGACGAAGCGAATGACTGAAACAAGTATAGCCCGCCAAGGGGCATGGAATCCCGAATGGTATCCGATATCGTGACTTCGTGAAAAAGAACGTGCAACCAAAAGATAGCACATGCGCCCGCGTCCAAGATAGCCAAGTACCGCACCCATGGTTTCGTCAAGGGAGCATGGAAGGTGAGAGGTGAGAGGAAAGATGACGGGATCAAGCATGACAGGTGCGCGTCGATAACGTAGTGAAGAAATGAATAAATTGGGCCTGCGACGCTGTCTACCTCTGGCATCACTCGAGTGATTTCAACTCTGATCTCCTCTTCCTGGTCTCCCCTGGGTATAACGCGAAATTGGTATCCTGGATTATGGACTGGTAGAATGTAGAACCAAGTAATGCTTGGGCACCAATGCCACAGTAAACAAATATCCGAGTGGCTTATGCGTGGAAAGGCTGATGGCGGCGGGCATGGTCGTGAGCGTGCCTCTTTGCGTTGACATACTCGACCGCGGTGACGTAGACGGTCTTGGTAAGCTTGTGGTAGGGCTTGTCGTCCTGCTTCTCGGGCGCAGGGGTGACCGCGGCAGCAGCCACTTCGATATCGGCAGTGTACGAGTCCTCGTAGGAAGCAGAGGTGGAAGTGGGCTTGACAGCGGAGTACTCAGCCAGCTTGCTGGAGCTTGTGGAAGGCTCAGCAGAAGACTCAGCAGAAGACTCAGACTCGCTTGGAGAAGATCCGTAGTCTCCGGAAGGCGCCTCGCCACCGCACATGTAGAAGTCCATGTTTTGGTCGTTGTAGCAGGACTTGGTCTGAACGTCGTCGGGAAGGACGTAAGAAACCTTGTCGCAAGAAGCTTTATCGTGGCAGGCCAAGATTGGGCAGAAGGTGTTGGCAGCAGATGCGATATTGACATCACTCTGGGTACCAGCTTTGAGGTAGTATCCGTCGTTCCTTGCCGGGCAGTCACCATCAAGGCAGTCGACGTAGGAGACATCGAGGTAGTTGTATCGGAAGTCCACTGGGCCATCCATCTTGCGGAAGTACTCCAACTGAGTGATGTCGACTCCTTTGCACTGCTTGGTCTTGGAGATCTTGATAGAGACACCAGTCTTGCCGTCACCGTGCTCTGGGTCTGGGTAGTTCTCCGAATACGTTTCGCCGGTCTTTAGCGTGACCATGCCATCTTCGGGGCAGCCATCACCTTTGTAGACGGACCAGAGATGCACGTCGTAGTCGCAACGGTTGATAACGCGCGCGTAGGGCTTGGTGGTATCGCAGTCCTTGGTCAAGGCGATAGCGCTTCTAAGGGAGGTGGCCGAAGTGGTCGCGACCATGGCCGAGGCCGCCGAAAGGAGGGTAATGAGCTGCATTATCGTCGAGTTGGACCGGTATAGTAGTTGGCGCAAAGGTGAAGACTGGAAAGAAGCGATCGAAAGAATGTCGGCTGAACACCTAAAAGAGTGAAGTTATTCAGCGAATGAACGTGGGTGACGAAGTCTTTCCTGAGCGGTAGAGAAGGAGTTTGGGACCTGGGGGATGCGCAAGTAAATAAGATGGCTGCATCCTAGTCCACGCAGCCCAGGCCCACTTCGAAGCCCGTCCGCCATGGAACTAATCGTCGCCACGGCGTGGACTTGTTTGGGACGGAGCCAAACGTCGTGGCTAGTCCGGAGAACAGGCACGGGCAGCATGCTAGCCGCGATCAGATAGGTTCTCGACAAGATGGGCAAGGGGCGATCCAATCGGACGAGTGCGGTGCCTGATCGTCAGGGCAATGGTCGTAACTTTGGCCATCTCATGTCGGGTAAAGTACGAAAGCAGAGTAAATAACAACAGGGATGTCGCCGATCGGCATTGTCTTCCTTCTGGCCAGCATTGGTTGCAGAGATTTCCGACTGGGAATGAAGCAACTTCCTGGGCGCGTGCTACTCTGCTTACAACAAAGATGCGAAGTTGTTATTTGGCTGCACCAATGAAGCTGGACGCCTCTCCTTCATCGCAGCATAGAACTTGTGAGCCTCAGGTTGGTGGTGCAGAAACCCGAGATGAGTCCGCTTGGCGAGCCTGGCCATTGTCTTAAGCGATCCCCTTCGCAAGGCTCGAATAGGGGCTGTGTCCAGGCCTCGTCACCTCTTCCAGAGCACGATCACCTACGACGAGCTGTTGGATCGTTGGTTCACAGTCAGACATGCTGCGAGGACAAGTCGTAAGACAGCTGTCACGATTCCGTTGGGCCCGTCCATTTGCGCCATCCTTGTGATGATGACCGGTCGAGCATGTGTAGCAGGAACATGCATCGACAAGTGCGAGGTCCAGGCCGGTGCGCTGTCGCAATGTTGCAGAAAGCCGGTAGTTCGAACCATTTAGCAAGGGCTCCTTTCCACATTTAATTTCCCACACTCGCCAACCGGAAATCTCCCATGACGGCCAGCGTAGGATGAGATCAATTCCGCCACAAGTGCCAGCTCTCTGTTCTTTGTTGCGCTTGTTTGCGGTCACTCCAAGCAAATACAGTCGCTGACTTGGCTGGCTTGGAGGTGCAGCGTAGCGCAGTGAAGCGTGCGACGGATGTCGTGGCACCATAATTGGACCATCTCAGCGACGCGATTCATGTGCAGAGCAATCTGCCAGCGAGTCGTCCCTGGTTGTGCGCCAGTTGTGCATCTTGTCGAGAAGCGTTCCAGATCACAGACACTTTGGTTGAGCGGAATCTGGGCACGAGCGAATCTTTAGTGGGGCTCTCCTGGCCACCACGTGACACAAACACCTGTCAAACGCCGCTCTTCGGTCATGAGATGTCTCTACTTACCAGACAAACTGAAGACCTCGAAAGGCTGATAGAATTATTATTGGAGGCTGGCGCATACTTCCTGGGTGGATTCTGCAACAAGCCATCCGACCTGCATCGTCTCTCGGCTTTGCATCCACTCGAAAGTCTCTACAGTACAGTCTCAGCCATGGTGGTTCACACGGACGCGCAGCAAGTCACATCGTCCTCTCGTTTCTCGATTTTATGCCGCGCAACCCAAGGTGAACCGCTCGCATGCTGAAAACTATGCGAGCGATGTCTTAGCGACTGCCATGTGAAGCACGACCTATATCACGACGTCGGAATAAGAACCAGACCTGTGCTATACGACTTGCACCTACACGGGTTGGCACATGTGGAGCTAAATACCTTCTTTGGTCTCGACGCGTGTCTTGCCCGACCATGCCTGATGCGAGGAGTAACGTTCCGCAGCCTACTCGAGCCGCTGTGCAACACCACTACTAAGCTTGCCGGATTGACAATGTATAGAGCCCTCGCAGTACGTCTTCTCTGGCGGCGGGCATCTTCGCATCTGCATGATGTGAGGTGCACGCAGGATTCACTCTTTGTGATGTAGCCGTCTACGCTTTTCTCGGCACGTTTGATACTACATCTTCTCGGGAAGACAGACGTACTACAATAGTGTATTAGTAGCAATACTAATACGCAAATCAGAGCACAACATCCGCGCAAGTGTGGTTGATCTGAAGAGGGCTAGCTTTCTGGCATTAAGTCGAAGGCTTTCGATACGGGAGTTGCTTTCCCGTGAGCCTGGTCACTGACACTCATCCTCGATCCGTCACTCGGCCCAGATCCAATGCCACGGGATCGCAGTAATGCGGGCGCTGTATCCGCTCATGCTCAGCTGTTCAAGTAACGATGTCTCCAACATTCCGTGGCACTACATCGACCGGTCTGCTGACATGCTTCCGGGTCCGTTCAGCGACGCCAACCAGATCTCACCAGCTGTCAGATATCGACTGCACTAAACGTATGTTGCGTTGTTGCCTGACAGGCTGGTGTTATCTTCTGGCGTCAGTCGAGATTGATGATTGCAAGATCTCACTGTAAGATATCGGTTTCATCCCCATTCAGGGAGACTTTGGCTAATTATCTTGGTCACAACAAAGGCTCTTCAGACGCAAAGAGTCTGGGCCACTTTGCATCACCATAAGAAGCTGACGCATGTCCAGGTTGTGTAAAGGACATGACTGCAGATGTTTAAGCAGACCATATGCTCACCCATTTTGAAACAAGAGAAGTAAGTACTTATCGTCCGAAGGCAGGTCGTTTTCTCTTCGTTGTCTGGATCCTTATCTTGTTCTTATATCTCCGCGGAACGGGTGGAAAGGGCGGCAGTATGCCAGCGCAATCTCATAACTCTACTTTCAAGGGGTGGTGTATTTGATCACTAGTAGAGGTTCCTACCCTTCAACTCTTGCTGGGTGGAGATGTGATGCTCGAGCAAGAGCGGTAGTCTCTACCGCCATTGATGATGGGAGGCGGCCTTGATAGCATTCTGCAACTTCTGCGCTTGGCTCCAGACACATATATGTGGTTCTCATCCTCACGTATTACTTTGCGTATCGCGACCCAGCGGTGCGGCTCAAGAACTCACTTGGTGCGTCGAACGGTGAGCTGCATACACCTGGAGGTACGCGCCAGCTTCTTACTGGATGGAATAACCGGTAACAATGGCAAATCAGCCGGCGCTGCCAGCCGTGATATCCAATTGGAAAGCGAGTTGGGCCGCAATAACCAGCGTACAGATTCGCGGCAGTTTGAAGGACCACACTACTATAACGATAGGTACGCCCGAAGCGCATGGTCGAGAACCCGATTGTAGTGAAAGAGATCTTCCGGAGACAACGCACGTATACAAACCTTGCGCTGTGCATGGTGTTGGATTGGAGCAGCCTGGATTTCACATCTTCAACCGATCTTGGAACTGATCACAACAGCCGCGACCCAGTTCTGTCTGGTCATCCACCGGCCATCGCTGATATAAACCAATGATTTCGGCTGCTGGCGGAGCAAGGATAAGACGAGCTCTTTCTATGGTACCCTATGCATGTTTCCTCCATGCACGCAATTGCACATCCCATTGCATCACTCCGCTCTATCTGCAGCGGTTCTGCGATCGATGATGATCCTAGGTATGCGTTGTGTCCAGGCTTTTTTGCATTCCATGGTCGTTGATCGCATAGAGTTGCTTTCAAGAACTGGGTATGATGGCTTCCAGCATCCTGGAGCAGTAAGTACGTGATGAACTCACGTGCAAGCTTAACTTGCTGACACGCTTCCAAGGTTGCGTGCGTTGACCCTGTCACAGCCCGCACCATAACCGTGCCACGCACGTGAACGAACGTTTGATGCAGGCTCATGCCTGACGCAGCTGCACGGGACCGACGCCACATGCATACGACACATCCCACGTGCAGTCGTCTTGCTCACGACCGTTGGTCTGGCCGAAAATCTTGTTTACGGGTATGTCTAGTGTAGGGGGGCGTACCGGCATTCGGTGCGCACGGGAGCGTCCAAGGGTGGGTCGAACGGCCACGGCCCGTAATCGGTAGGCTTTAGGTACGGTCTTCGAGGTTTTGCCATGAAATACAAGGCTTTTGAGGAAAGTTGACATTTGCTTCCTGATCCGTTGTTGCGTGCGCCGGCTGTATGCGATGCAACATGGTTGGTGACTTGTCGATAACCCATGTCATCACGGAATTTAGGAAATACGAATCGAGATTAGAAGACAAGCTCTAGATCCTAAGCATGTACAAGGCCCGTTGCGGGTAGAGATTGAGTCCCTTGAGGCAAATGCGTTATCTCAGTAGGCCAAACAGGAGGCGCCCTCCGTGGGATGTCTTTCGGTTAGAAATAATGTGGCAGCTTTCCCCCACTTGTGGCGGGCAACGGTAGAGTTTGAGGGTGTGTGGTTCCCGCGATAGTCGAGTCCGACACTGAAGTGTCAAGGTTCCGGTAACACCATACCATATCTGCCGGATTAAGCGTAAGCCGCCACTGCCGCCAGCCAACGAGAGAATTGCCATCTGAGTCATGCTGCTGATTTTCGGCATACCGAAAGATGACCCTTTCTAGAATCGGCATTGCTACCCAGTGAGGTTGAAGGAAGGCATATCGGTGTGCGGCTTAAATACCAGCTCGTGCCGTGTGGGTGTACAGCCGACCATTATCCCGCGTCGAGGCGAACCACTGGTTTGGGCCACTACATGACTATCAACCACTCGGTACGATTACTTCGGTAGGATACTGGAAGTTCATTTGGAGACGATGATTGGAGATCGGAAGATTTCTACCATGAGAGAGGAAGCTCGCTTTTGATTAACGGGTATATGGATCGAACCAACATGCAAGATTACCACGAGTCGCTTCCTGCACCGGAAGAGGTTACCAGAAGCAATGAGCGGTGTGACTCGCAGTATCAGAAAAGAAATGCGAAATTCTGGGAGCTGCAGCAAGGTAACGCGCGTGGAAGGGCATAGTACATTAGACACGAAACTTGAGCGTCTTTCGACTCCTCCACCTGAACAGCTGTGATTG